ACGTCGTAAGCTCGACGCCTTTATTGTGCGAACTAGTAACCTCCCCTTGCCATGCCATGGTATGGTCACACCGTGCAAACCTAAAAAAATTTTCCTAACATCCACACAACAAACGTTACAAATACGAGACAATTTACAACAATACGTGAAAACAAAGAAAAAACACATATATGCACAAGTATCATATACAAGTTAATGTACAATTTCTATACAACATATACATTAATTATAAAACTCAAAAACAAAAGAATTATCGCAATGCGAAGATAATAGAACCAATCCCCGACAACGGCGCCATTTTGTTGGAGCGGTGTAGCGGCAAACAACAAAAGTTTTGGAAATATTTATCCGAGAATTTATTGTGTCCACGGAGATTGGTTATTGAATTGTCGTTCGACAAATCATTCATTAATGAGTTTGGGATTGAATGAGTTTTTTAAAGAAAATGTTATTAACAGAAAATAAATGTAAACAAAAGTAAAAATTAAGGAAGAACTTATCAAGCTTGCATATAATCTACTCATCAAAAACTTAAATCTATCGACCAGTTACATTCAACCTAACAATACTCATCAATGTCACTATGTATCACTCATAACCTAAGTCATTTCTAACCCAAATCGAGAGACCGAGTGTATCACCAAGGAAATGATCTCTCTACCTCCTCAACAACACAGAAGACAACTATGTAATCACACTGACGATCTCTCAGTACAGCACAACCACACAGGCATTAAGCTCTGATACCCATGTAGATGTCAGCTCTAAATCTATCTAGAGTTCAGAAACTAACAGATAATCATCCTAGATAAGAATCTAAGAAATATATGTCTATAACAACTCAAATCCCTAGCACAGAGCAAAAATCCAGGACAACAATCAATAAAGATTTATAAAGAAGGTTTAATATAACGCCATGGGCAACAAATATATATGAGTTCAAAGTAAATACATATACAAACCTAACACATAAAGAATACACAAAGAGGAAGAGAAATGAACCACAAATCTCCCGGTTTGTCAGTGCCGATTGATGAGCAATCCACCTCGGATCATCCGTATGCAAGCTTCAATGTTGTTTTCTAAGCTAATCTTATCCAAATATGAAGTTTGATGGAGTTGGGGTCAAAAATACCCAAAACTATACCCAAAAAATGTGTTTTTGACCCTAAATACGCATTTTTGACTGTCCAGGATCGCCCGGTGACCAAAAGTTTCGCCCGACGACCAAAAACAGCGTTTTCCCATGCTACATCTCTCCTAGCGTCGCCCGGCGACCAAAAGTTTCGCTCGGCGAAAGTTAACAGCAAGTTGAAAAATCAACACAGCATCCTACATTGTTTCGGTCATAACTTTTGAACCGTAACTCTGATTTATGCCTTGTTCGAAGCGTTGGAAAGCTTATTCAATGCTCCTTATAACAATAAAAAAATATAAACCAAATTTATGATTTCTTATTCTTTGATTTTGAGCCTTATTCGTTGACGAGTTGCTCAAATCGCGCGTTTGAAGCCGTGTCTTCGACACTTTATTGCTCATGCTCCAAATACACATCAATACCTACAAAATGAATGGAAAACATCAAATGGTATCCTATGTACACAAAAACACAAATAAACACAAACTAAATGTATTTATACAAAAGTCGGGTTTATTCAACGATATTAACAACAAAAAGTCGATAAGTGCAACAAAAAGTATATACAAAAATAGCTACAATTTGCACTTATCATCAAGTAAGTTTGATTTTCTTTTAACACTTTGAAAGGTTTCTTGATCATTTTCGACTTGACACATATTTCGCATTTTTCAAAATCATGAATGTTACATGAGATCAATCCAGATTTGATTAGTCTATTCATAGTACTAATACCAATATGTGCTAATCTAGAGTACCATAAAGTAATTGACTCAAGCATATAACGGATCTTGTTCCGACGACTTTAGATTAAAGTTCATTTCCCATCTGCACTTCTTGTCCATCATTGACTTCAGAATATGATTTGAATGTTGCTTTGTCATAAGATACATGAACGATAGCACATGTATCGTACCACCATCCTTGGACTTTTCCTTTGATTGCCATAATTTCGCTTACCGTCGCGATTATGTCATCATCAGAATGAACAACCCTAAGTGCTCAAGTGTCGTCTACAAGACGCCACTAGTGCCTCTACGTCCATATTCTGGGACAAGTTGCATAATGCTTGGGACCATCACACTTGTCAATGTGGCACTTTATCCTCTTTTGTCCTTTTGTAGAGTTAATGCTTTTAACTCATTTATAAAGACATTCAAAGTGAGTGAATCTTTCTATGTGAGATTATTTCTCATATATTTATGAGCATTTACTCACTTTCATTATTTTGTCATTTTAGAACACTCGTTTATAATTAATTTTCAATAAATTACAACAGGTAACACTTGCTAGGCATATTGCATTAAATTTTGAACTAAATATAAATTTTCATCTTCATTCTTTTTTGTTAACACTATGATATCAAAAAGGATGACTTTTAGGGTTGAAGACTAAGGGTTAAGTTTTTTCGGTGAGAAAACACATTAAAACTACATTGGATAATGAGATTGATTAGAGGAAGGATGTAAACTTTCTTGCTTGATTTCTCTTGGGAATTTCTTGTGAGTTGTATGAGAAAAATAAAGGGTAAAAATTTCTTGGAGATACTGTGAAACTAATGTTTTAATTTTTTGTAACTATTGTAATTAACATACTTACGTAGTTGATATGAAAGCTACCATCTCCTTCAAACATTGATCATTTGGGTCGAATGTGTTAAACAAATCTTGGGGTGTTCATCTTCTATGTTTTTTTTGTATTGATTGTGTTACTCTACACAAAGAATCGATATTATTGTTTGAAACTTTTTAATTTGGCTCTCATTGCTATTATTTCACAATATTGATCTTGATTTGAACACTATTGTTTTTTCAACACCCACAAACATTTTCTCATGCTATTTTAGTAAAAATTCATTTAGGATGTTGATATTGTGATTTTTCTAATTTTTACAATAAAATAATAAATTGTACCCAAATTAATTCCATAACATTAATTTTTTCATGCATTCTTAATTTGGATTGTTCTCCCTCTCTTCCTTATTTTGTTGTTGTATTTTTTACAATGAAGATATTATTATTTTATGTTTTGTGAAAAAAATGATATAAACTCCCTTAATTTTGGTTTCTAATATTATATTTAAGAATAATATTCTTATGAAAGTGTTGGTCCAAAAATTATATATCTCAGAAATTTTATTTAATTTAAAATATATAAAAATTAAAAATTAAAATAAATATAAGCATTAATGGAAAATTAGGTTAGTTGATCATTATTCCTATAGAAATGTTAGATTTTCACCTTCAAAACATAAAAATAAACTTGAGAAAAATCTCATGTGTAATAACATTCTTGAGAGTAAAAGATATTCGAGAATAATTTCTTAAATTTAAAACAAACATAAAATAATTTCGTTTTCAATATTACATTCTGAAAAATATCTTTTCAATTCTTAAAACAAACACACATATGATTAACTTAAAGTCGAATTATTATTTATCTCAGTAGTTATTGGATATATTAATAAAAATTATCCAACAATCCATCTTAAATCAGTTTTGATCATTCACTCACTTTTTTCTCTAAATTGTTTTTTATTGGTCATTCATTTCTGAAATTAAAAAAAAAAATGATAACATAAAAAAGACAAATTTTACATACAATTATTTAGGTGTAATTATTACTATTTTTTAATGAAAATATAATAAATATATTATTTTCTTTTATATATGTAAATTATTTTTATTTTGATTTCTTAAATAATATTTAATTATACTTATCAAATTTTTATTAAAAACTACATTTAAAAAATTATACTTAAACTTTGTCCTACATAAAAAAAAATTGAGGAGATGACAAATCTTGACTTATATAAATTTCAACAATTTCAATATATTAAATATTGTCTGGCATATACACTTAGGAGCATATTATACTAATATTATCAGCCGATCTTATATTGAAATAATTTCCGACACAAATAAATAAAATTTTATAAAATTTTAAAAAAAATATTATTTATAACAAAATGTGTTATTTAAAAAATAAAAAATAAAAATAATACAAATTTAAAATTATATTATTAACTAATTTCATCATTTAATTAATCACAAAAATATATATTATTAATCAATTATTTTATTTATAATTCATTCTTTTCTTTATTAAGCAACAAAATACATTACATTAACCACTTCAAACATTAAAATATTAATTACATTAACCAATCTTTCATTCAAATAATCAATTTTATTCTACTATTTTTAAGAAGTTATTTTTATATCTGAACATTCATTAACCAAATTTTAAATTTTATTAATCAATTTTTTACTTATTTTTAGCCAACTTTGATTTAACATGTAAAACCAGAGAGATGGATACAAAATTTTAATTTGTGAGGACAAAATCATACATATATTATAAATGTTTTTATAATTTTTTTTATAAATTTATTAAAATAAAGCTATTATCGTCTTGTAAATTCAATTTATTGTTGTCATTAGAATACTACATTAAAAAAAAAAGAGACAAATTTATAATAGTTATTGAGCAAAACATTAAAAACAACAAATTAATGTTTGTGCTATACTCCATTTATTTTAAATTATTGTTTTCATTTTCAATATTACTAAATATGTATTCCTGTGTGCATGGTCAAATATTTTTTAATAATTTATCTTTTATATCATTTTAATTTAACTATTTAGAAATAAAATTATTTAATTTATTTTGTGGGAGCAATAATTTAGTTTTAAGAAGAACAATGTGAAGGGTGGAAATGTGAGAATGAATGTGAAGATAAGATTCGTGTAATAATTGGAAAATCTCTTTAGTTGTATACTAGTACCTAGTCAGTAGTTCAGTTTGTTCACAAACAAAAACCCCTCCGTCTCAACTAACTCACACCTAACCAACCATATCCATGGCCACGCCAACAACAGAAGAAAACATCTCACGTGGTTTTCACATGCACGACACGGTCACGGTCACGGACGAAGACGAAGATGTACTTGATGAGAATCGAGGAGGAGGAGGAGAAGATGAAGAAGAAGAAGAGCAAGCAGTGAAGAATTCTTCAGGTATTAGTCGAGTTGTGGACCCAAGAGAAAAATGGGTGCAAGAATGGAACAAAGTGTTTTTGCTAGTATGCGGAGCAGGGTTGTTTGTGGACCCACTGTTCTTCTACGCCCTTTCCATCAGCGACTCGTTTATGTGCCTTTTCATCGACGGCTGGTTCGCCGTCACTGTAACGGTGCTCCGTTGCATGACCGACGCCTTCCACCTCTGGCATATCTTCCTCCGCTTTAAGATGGCAAAACGCAGCTCATTCGTTTTCTCCCGAGATTCTGCCGGAGCTGATCCCCGCTGCTCCGTCGCTCTTGCTTATCTTAAGTCCCGCCGCGGCTTCTTCTTTGATCTCTTCGTTATTCTTCCTATACCTCAGGTCAGAATTTTATTTATTTAAACTTCATTTACTAATTCTATTCTTTTTTCGTAGAAAAAAATATTAATTAAAAATGATTGAGGATAGTTAACTTATGTTGAAATTCCAAAAAATAGTTAAATAATTGGTTTTACGACATTCTATTGTTACTACGTTATCCAGCTCAATTATGAAGTTTGGCAGGTTATATATACGGCTCCTTTCAGCGATAGGTTTTTGTTTTTTATTTTGGTTGATGAAAGAGGAAAAGGAGAAAAAAAAACAAAATAGAAACGATATGTGTGGTTGTTTGTCGTTGCTTGCATGCGGACATTATCATTGATGATGGTTGTCAGGACATGCTGCATCTCCATGTGCTATTCCTATACTATGGCAATCCAACATGGATTTTACACTAGTTCGAATTCACCCTTTAACTGGAATGTCCAGTATCCACCTCGTGTCTATGTGTATATAAATTCAAATAATAAAATCTCATTAGTTATCATTTCATCATATTCTAACTCTTTAATAGACACAAACTAAAACCAAGTCACTAGAATTACCATAAACATATTTTTTTATAGAAGAGGTGCCATACCCACTTTACTATCCTGGAACGAGGTTATATGCTATTAAACTATTGGGATGAGGTTACATATTGGTTAAGGCAAATGATATAGTCCAGAGAAAAAACATGAATTCGCCATTAATATACAAATATACTATTTCTAAACTAGAAAAAGAAAATTAATCTATATTTTTCACATTTGTTCATGAACAAACAAACAATCTTGTTAAGACATTTCAATTGGTATTTGTGTGAGAATATCAAATGAAAAGTACGGATTTGAACCTGCGATATATTGTTGATAATTTTTCACTACAATCAAAGTCTTTACCTTTATTTTATTATGAAGAAAAATTTCATTTTAATTCTTCACGGTCACTTAACATGCGATTGCGAAAGTGTTGGATTATCTGATGTAGCCCCCTAAAATGCACATATTATAAAGGTTTTAGAGACTTAACACACGTACAAATCACCTCTTTTCATACCGGCCACTTTATTCTTTGAAGCTTCTCTAGTGGTTGAAGTTTATACTAACTTCAGGTGCATTAAGTCATTCCCAAAAGGGACTTCGTGTGGAAGACATGGTTTACGAGCACAACATTTATTGGACACATTGCGTGGAGAAGGTTATGTCGTGTCCATATATATTTTATGAGCAAACACTCTAGCTATTAACCTATGGATGAGAGGGAGATGCCCAATGAGTTTGGTGGAGTTTGTTACCTCTACACCCTTGACGTGGCTATTGAATCTTGGCGGTGGAATACGATCAATTGTTGTGGGAGCTATTTGGAGGCGGTTGGTATTCAAGGTTACAATGAAAGGAGTTAGTAGAGATGTGACGCCATATCTCAATGACTTTCAATTTGGGGTCAGGGTATCGATTGGTCCTAGGGTCATTTTACACAATGCCAAAAGGGTGTTAAGCAAGCGACTTGGAAATGGTTCTTTGACTATGATCATGGTAGATTTCATGAATGCTTTCAACATGTAGATCATTCAGCCATTCGACAAGAAATGAGGATGAGATACTCATTTATTTCTTTGTGAGTTGAGTTTCTCTATGGTCAGGCAACAAGGTTATACCATGGGATATGCATATTATGTCAGCCACTGGAGCCACTCCTTTTTCCCTTGTGTCACACTCACTTGTTCATCATATTAGTGACAACTGAAAGATTATTCTTCATGCATGGTATCTTGATGATGGGACCATCATATGGGATTTAGAGGAGGTGGCCAAAGTCCTTGACATCACCGGGAGACCGATCTAGCATTAGGTCTCGTATTGAATATTCATAAAATTGGGATATTTTTTCCTCCGTGTGGTGATAATAAATTTCACGAGAAGTTGTTTCCTTTAGACATTAGGAGGATGATACTGGGGATGAAGTTGTTTGGAGGGGCTATTAGTCGAGACGAAGGCTTTATCGAGGGGTTGTCCAAGAAGGGAGCGGCCAGGGTTGTTGACTTAATGCATCTTCTGCCATAATTAAAGAATCCTCAGAGTGAGCTTCTTTTACTTCGTCCTTGCATGAGTATCTCTAAACTTTTTTTCGGCCTTAGAACGTGTCAACCTGATCATATGGAAAAATCAACTATTTGGTTTGATAAAGAGTTGTGAAGGGAAGTTGAAGACATCGTGGTTAGGAGAAGTTATTTCTTCAAGAACCTTTAATGGATGTTGTCTCATATGCGTTTGTGACTTTTAGAACCCAATATTGAGTGTTACAGGATCATATATTGAGAGACAGTGAGATATATGGTATGAACCTTGATTTCGACGAAGTTTTTCATGATCTTAGTGTTGTGATTCTAGATTTTAACCTTAGTTGTTTTACTAGAAAGAACATTGTATCTCCTAAAGCACAACATGTTTTAGCGAATGCCCTTTTTGGTAAAAGTGTTCTGGACATAGAAGTAAAGTTTAATATGACCATAAAATAGAAAGTAGTTTTTGGTTTTTTGCAAGAAACACATGCTCAAGATTTTCTCCTTGTTATCCGTATTGATGCTCTAGGCCAACATATGTCTCCGGTAGAATATTGTACGGTCCTTAAATATTGGTGATCTTACTGGTTGATTAGAACCTGCAAGGTGACCAGATGATGATCTTCAGACGGGCTGGAAAGTCGAGGAGGAAAAAGGGGGTTGTACATGTAAGGCACTCTGACGATCAAGTAAGTGTGAGAGCAAAAGAGAAACAAGCAAAGTGTTAGGGTTTTAGTGATGAATAGTAGATATTCGATACCTGACCCTCACATGAGTGAGGGTTTATATAATGCCCCTGGCGGTTAGCCATTGGTCCCTATTTTTGGACCTAGATATGAGGGTCCGCAAAAATAGGTAATTGGCAGGACTCGGTTAAAATGGGCAGGTATGCTCGTAACTAGCCGTTGGATCCGAGGGGGAGGCGGGTTACAGGCAGATGGTCGTTCCAGACTAGTCCTGGTTGACTGCTCGACTCGTATCAGGCTGACGGGAGATAACTGTTGACTGGGTCAGGCGTGCGTGTCGGGCATAGGTGGTTGTGTGCTCAGGGGCGTGGTCAACCAAAATGTTGGGCCACTATTGTTGGGCCGTGCCAGAGGTAGAAATGGATCAGGCCAATTATATTCGTTAGGCCAATCTAGAATAGTAGCCCCCCAAGTCTTTGCTTCTATACATAGGAGTGATGACTTAGAGTCAACCCGTGCACCGAGGAGAAAAACACGTTGTTGGCGCTTGTTGTTCACAACGAGGACGTTTCATGATCTTTACGAGGAAATGCTCGTACATGGTATATTGTTATTTATTAGGTTTATGCATGTTTGTATGCTTGTCTTCCTGAGACATTTTATTTTGATCAAGAGTTTCAGGGGTTTGCTCGTTAGTATTTGAATCCGCCAATGTGGGTGACTGGTCGAACGACTAGGGCGATCACCTGGCATGGGTAGGAACTCATGTCTCGTTTTAAGGGCCCGAGCTTGGCGGCATGAACTTCCCATTGCGAGCTGGGTGTTCTGCCATTGTGGTATGATGACGATGGAGCTCATTTGAGTTTCACGTCGGGCTAAGAATTTGCTCGTTAAAAGAGTGAAGACTTGCCTCTTTATTTAATTTGGAGTGTCATGCTTGTACCTGGGCATGCACATGTGGTTGGACAAACTGTGTTTTTTGTTTCTACGAGACACGCCGACTGTATCAGTGTCTTAACTGTAATATTGCCTTAGTTTTTCGGTGTTCCAGGGTTGAGCAAGTTATTCCCCGTGCTGGTTTTTGAGATAGTATGCCCCATTTTCGTTTTTGCTCAAACACGATAGCAACTCTTGGATGACAGGCTTGATATGCCTCTCTTTTTTATGCTCGTGAGCTTTGACATGATGTCTACTCAGAATTTATGTTCGCGGGGAACGTATGCCCGCTAGGATGGAGTGTTCGCGGGGAACGTATGCTTGCTCGACAGTTGTGTTCACGGGGAACATGTGCCTGCTGAGCAGTTATGTTCGCGAGGAACATGTGCCTTCTTAGCAGTTGTGTTCGCGGGGAATATGTGCTTGCTCAGAATTTGTGTTTGTAGGAAACATGTGCCTGCTCGGCATTTGTGTTCGCGGGGAACATGTGCCTTCTGAGCGGTTGTGTTCGCGAGAACATGGTTTATTTATGCGCTCCTCTCGTCGTGGAGGCTGATGAGGTCATTTTTGCTGCGATGTCGAGCATAATTTGTGGTCACTTTCTCCTCGCACTAGACGTACGCATGGGCTTTGAAGAGGAGGGCGTCTAGTGTGGCCGGTGTTTTTACACCAACAACTTTGGAAAAATCGGTGCGGGGGTGCAACCCTCGCTCGAGCAAGTAATTTTTCATTTTGTCAATTGTGGAGACCTGAACACCTTCTCTGTTAAACCTATCGATGTATGCTCTGAGAAATTATTCTTTTCCAAGTATGATCGCTTCTAGCAAGGCCTCTGTCTTCGGATGACAGCAAGAGACAGTGAAGTGCCTTGAGAACATCTTCCCCAACTGCTTCCATGAGCTGATGTATTCGTTGGGGAGGTTTTTGTACAAAGACATTGCTCATTTTCTCAGATTTGTTGAGAATAACCTAAATTTGATCGTACCCTTCATGCCTTGGTAATCAAGTTGGGTGTCGATGTCTTCTATATGGTCATCTGGGTTGGCTGTACCATTGTAGGATCCCAACAGGGGCGGCTTTTCGAGCCCGACCGGGAGCCGTGTCTCCATAATTTATTTAGATAACGGACCATGGGGTTCGTTATCATCGGTCTCTTCTGGCAATGATGGAGGGGATTGATGGTTTCTTCCTCTCCTGGCATCATTATCTCGTTAAGGGGAGGGGCTATGCCTTCGTCGCCTCGGTTTAGGTGATAGTGACCTGCTGCAATCATCTTTACAGGTTCTCTTCGTCTTCTTGGAAAGTGGAGAGTCTTTATCCTTCTCGGGAGATGC